TGTATTCTGAGAAAAAGAATTTCAAGGCTTTAAATCGGATGCTTCCTCTTGAGTGAAATGTCACAGCACTAGTGTGTCAGGACCTAAAAAAAAAAAAGTAAAAGAAAAAAAAACCCTGTAGGCTGTATCATTTAAAGGAAGCTTAGTTATCCTCAGGAGAACATTCATAGCCTGTCTATAGGGCCAAATATACACACTCAGATACCTTCTATAGTGTTCTGTAAATTGCTGCCTGTTACCTGATTCCCCCTACCATTTAAAAGTGAGGCTATCAGACCATTGTACTGAGCACCAACTTATCTATACTTTTTCAATAAAATGGGAGTTAGATTTCATCCCTCCATTCACTTAGAGGAAAATTTAGAGTCTCCTCGTTTCCATATCACTCAGCACTTCTCTTGTAGTTATATAATTGGTGGCGTGCGGGTGTGTGTCCATCGTGGAGGACACTGGATGCTCATTTATTAAATATGCTTCCTGGCTGCTCCCTAATCTTTGTTCTGGACAGACAAATTACCTTTCTCACACTGAGCTTCAACTCTGGGGATTTCAGCCTCCACCACTTTAATTAGCTGGAAAGTGGGGGGTTGCCGTTACTAATAGACCTCAGGCTTTTAGTAACTTAGGCAAAGGGTGAAAAGAAAACTTCCTGGGAAGCTCAAAATGTCATTTAAAAAACCATAAAAACCTAATATATATTATTTCATTTTGGTAATTGCAAACAGATTGTATTTGAAGACTGTGTGGATGATCATTTCTAACTTCCCCATGAAAGTCAAATTTCTCTTGAGCTAGGCACTTTTAATTATCGCAATTCATTAACACATCAAGTGTGGAAGCACATGGGTTTGACTTCATGTATTGCCATGTTTATGTAACATTAAGTAACATAGCAGATGAGAAATCTGAATGGAAGAATCATATACGTAGGTCATTAGAGATGAAGCTTGCTGTAGCTATAGACATAATATCTGGAGCCATTGTAGTGGAGGGCAAGGCATCTCTGTCATTATTTTTCAAAAAGGGGAGCCCACCCTTATCCAGTTTAAGCCAGTCTTTGGAAAGGATGGCACTCTCCGAAACTTTCTGAAAGTCCATTTCTTGTCTCGTTTTCCCCCGCTAGTAAAACCTGTCTAAAATGTTATGCCTTCGCTCTCCAGTGCCTGAGTAAGTAGCGTAGAAAGCTTCAATCAAGTCACAGTTGGAAAATAGTCTAATAAAAGGGGATTAGTGAATGTGGAGAAGACAAAAGCAGTCGTGTTTGAGTTTCCTATCTCTCACATTTAGCGTTTTGGCTAAGATGCCCATTTTTATTTCTTCCAGGTCTGCTAAAAGGTCAGAGTAATGCAGAATGCGTGCCTTCATCTCAAATTTTGTTCATCCCAGATGGATCCCGTGTGTCTCCAGTAGACAAGTCACCTTTGTAGCTAGCCCCAGCGCCAGCTTCATACCACTGCACCTTCTTTATTCCTGATTGCCCTTCCCACATTTATTGGTGTATTAAAATGACTGAATATGAGCATTAAGGACTCCATGAACCTGGGCTAATGGGAGACTGTAGAGAATATGAAAAAAAGATCCACCGGAGGGGAGGGGGCTAGGGTGGGGGGGTGGGGAGGGAAATGACTAATGAAGCTAATTAAAAGAAGCGTTCAAATCTGCTTTCTACCCTCATTAACAATTAGCAGGGCACTGGCCGGCGTTTGTACCCTGTGTTTTTCCTTAACAACATTCTCTTTGCTCTCTGTATATTTAGGTGTCGTAAGGAAATGTGTTTCAATCCAAACTGAACCTGAGATAAAGGAAAGAGATGTGGCTTTTGTGATGCTCAATCACACAAACACTTTTATTGTATCTCTGTAAAATACAATGTATGTATGCATGTAAGTGTTTTTTGTCCTAATGTTGCTACTTCCCATGGCAAAAAAAAAAGGAAAAATTGGAAAAAAAAAAAAAGTCAGGCTCATAGAAGCTACTGTGTAGAAATTCTGCCCCCCCCTCTAATTTGCTGAATGAAGACAAATCTTTTATTTGTGATATTTTCAGAGACATTTGCTCTAGTATGGTGTATTTAAATAATAAAAATGTAAAAGGAAAATACCAAACCGTGTTTGGTTTTAAACACTTTTCTTTTTTGTCCTGTATTTTCAAATTGAAGACCTTTTAGTTCTGGTGCTTTGACTGCAAGTTCATTTTATTTATTTTGGGTAGGGGAGGTGTCATCTGTGTTTTCGCACTCTTTGCCAATAAGGCTTTCTTCAGACTACTTCACCATGTCATCTCTGGCAGAGGTACAGGGGTAAAGGCTTCAAACAGAGTGTTTTTCCCCGTTCAGAATATTAATTCTGATAATAGCAAACATCTCACTACATTCTCCCATGTAGCAATGAGGGGGTGTGTGTGTTTGTGTGTGTGTGTGTGTGTTCATGCGCATGCACACACACACACATATAAATAAATGAATATCGAGTATTCATTATCTGACTGCTTCAGCTCCTCAGCCCATTTCTACTTGGAGAATATTGTATACTGATGAAAAGCACGTTAAAGCAAAAGGTCTAATGACCAGTGTCTATCTTTTTTTTTCTTACCCAGTTTATGGTTTTTGAAGGAAATAGCATCTCTAAACCTTACAGGTACCTGTTTGCAGGTTCCATTAGCTGACAGGAACCCAGAGCTCATTTTATGGCCATCTTCAATGGGGGAAGAAGCCATTTCCCAGTGAGTTTTCAGTACCGATATGGTCCATAGTGTGATCTGTTTGTTTTGTTTTTTCCTATGATTGCCCCTCTATTCCCTCCTTGTGCCTCTCCCCTCTTTTGCTATCTCTGCCTTCCCATATGTTTGCAGAGGATTCAGGTTTCATTTGGTTGTACGCTTGAGATGTTTGTTTACTAGTTTTGAGACAGCCCAGTATCCACCATAACTCCCTCAACCCCTTTAGAGATACCCTGGGGAAAGAACATTTTGGATGACCCAGTAGGCACGTGTCTAGTGCCTGGAGAGAAATGGGGAGAAAACCCTGGCACCTTGAGACGTTACTGCTGTGGGAGGCTGGATGAATTAACCGTTAGCAAATCTCACTTACGACTTTTTATCGCAGGCCAATGAAATGAAGTGTGTTGATACTTAGACTTTTGATTTCCTTTTTGCTTTTAAAAATAGTATTTATTTTGTTTTATCTGTGACTGGGAAAGCTCATGATACATACACCGTCTGTGGTGATACAGATAGACTACATAATCTTAGAAGTTGAGCTCTGCATATCTAAAACTAACCGCCGGTTTCCCTTTGAGGTCTCCTGCTTTGCTCTCCACCAAGGCCTCACTTGGTACTTTCCACATTTCACACTGGGAGTGGAGGCGTGGTGGTGGTGGTGGTAGGGGGTCATTCTAAAACTATAAGCATTCTATAAATAGGACAAAAAAAGATGGCTGTTATACTACTTCAGTCTGGTGAGCTTTTTTCTAGGAAGAAGTAAAAACAAACACCATAGATGTTTGAATTTGTAGTGTTTGGCAGTTTCTGGTCAAGAACCTGGCGGTAAAGCAATGGTTTCTTTGATTAATGCTTTCAAAAAATTATTCTTTAGGATCCTGGCTAAAGGTACTTTGACTCCTGAGGATGCTGTAGGCACAGAAAGTGTTAGCTGAATTACAAGTACCTTCTGTCCTCCCACCTTCCTGAGCATCTCCCCTCCTCCCCCTGCATTTCCCACAGCTTTTCAGTTGTCCGATCTAACCTAGAAATACTAAGAAGATGGTTAATAACTTTCAGTAAGTAATGTAGTCGGGCATTTAGTGATTTAGAGGTCTAAGTTCATTAAAGACTTTAAATGAACTATTATATACAGCGGGCTTCTGAAGCCCTGCTACCTATTTAATAACAAGCTTTTAAAAGCATTTCTTAAGTTGCAGACCTCTAAGATTACAAATGTCACTCATGTACGTATAATCCACATAGCAAGTGATGAAGCCTTGGCTTTGATGTGCTAAATTGGAGAAGGCCTAATGGAGCTATGAATATACAATAGAGAATATTTAAGTAGTAGTCTTGCTTTAGGTAAAACACTTCCTTGAAACCAGAGGCATTTCAAACAATAAAATGGGCCCTAATGGGGATGCTCTGGGTGGATAGAAAGCTACTGAAAACACTTAGGTTTATTTTTATGTGAACAGAGATGGGGTAGGCAGCTTTTTCTCCCCCTCACCAACCTCCTGCCTTAAAACACTGCTTGAAAGAAGAAGAAAAAAAAAAAACAGTACATGGACATATTCACCTTTTGTCCACTGCGTTTGTTATATTATTAGTCTGTGAAATGTATGCTGTTCTTTAAAAAAGCCTGATTTCATATTCATCGGAAGGAAAATGGCTCCCAAGTTCTTAACACCAAGTACGGTTAAGAATCAAGGGCGGCCCTCCCTATGTGACAGCACCCCACTGAACTCTGGATTTTTTTTTTAAATTATGTTTATGATACATATGAATGTCTCAATCATGCAAATTGTCACTCGTATTAATGATACCATTTTGTAAAGAGATTGCCCTCTAAAAAGGGTTTAATGTTTTTACCTATCCAGCTGTCTAGTTACGAGATTTACGCATCCCAGAAGGCATTGGGATGTTAAGGCTTTCTGAATCAAGTTGTTTGCCATGAGATACTGTATTTCCAGGCCATGGTGATTTATCACAAACTATCGGAACCTGTTCTGTTAGTGTCTTGTGAAACATAAAATGAGAAAACTGTGGTGCCAGAATGAAGCCCCATGAAATTAGGTCGTTTTCAGGATATTAACTGTGTTTAGAGCCTATCTCCCTATTAGTGCTTGTGACAGGCATCACGTCATAGTGGCTGGAGGGAAGGCCTGAGAGTGGGTTAGACCCAGGTTCTGGTCCTTCCTCTAACCCAACCTGGCTGTGTGCTCATGGTCAAGTCACTTTGCATGCCAATGACCCCGGTAATTCTCTGGACTGATTTACAAAGACAGTGCCCATTTGTATCAGTGGACAGAGGCCTTAGCCTGGGAGTTCTCCCAACACACAAACAGTATCACAGGTCAGTATAAAAATAAATAAATAGGAATGATATTTGCAAGGACTGATCATTCAGAATGAAACCCCTCAATAAAATGGCTTCAGGCGCTGCTGTCACAGAATTTTAATGTGTTCCTCTAGATGGCACAGTGATAGAGCGCAGGGCCTAGAATCAGGAAGACTCATCTTTCTGAGTTCAAATCTGGATTCAGACTGGCTTTGTGACTCTGAGCAAGTCATTTAACCTTGTTTGCCTCAGTTTCCTCATCTGTCAAAGGAGCTGGAGAAGGAAATGGCAAACCGCTCCAGTCTCTGCCAAGAAAACTCCAAATGAGGTTAAAAGGATTCAGATATGAATGAAACGACTCAACAGCAACTATTTATATAATGTATTGCTACAAGCGGTTGGCACTTTGATGGTTACAAAGTGCTTTACGTAAGAACATGTATCTGGAGATGGAAGGAATTTTTAAGGTCATCTAGTCCAACTGCCTTATTTTACAGATGAAGAAACTGAGACTGTGACATGTTAGGTGACTTGCCTAATGGTAGGTAGTTAAGCCTGGAATTGAACTGAGGTCTTAACAGCTCTTCAATCCATCACTCTTTCCAATGTAGCCTGAATCCTTCTACTCATTAGCCCTTTTAAAAACTACAGATGATTCACATAGTAAAAGAAGGAGCCATAGGATCATGAATTTAAATTTGGAATGGACCTTTGAGGTCATCTATCCGTAACCCTCTCATTTTATAGAGTTGAGGAAACAATTTCAGAGATGACTTCTCCAACATCACCTAGGATGGCTACCGTCCAACTGCCCTCTACCAGTGTCTAGTGAAGGAGCTCTTCCTGTGTTCTGGCTTGTCCCTGTGAAATCAGGGAAGTGATAGAGAGCTCACCATCAGTTAGCTGAAGCCTACCCTGAAGTTGTCCCAGGTGCCTAGGCTGAGGCTGCTGGGACCTCAAGGCTGCTGCTGGATGTTACTTGTCGCTTTGTTCCTGATACTTTGCCTATATTGTTAGTTTAACCAAGTCACAGAAATGCTCATTGTAGTTAAATAGCAATTGGTTTCCATGAAACTGCAATTAAAGTATTACCGAGCAGCCATTTTAGATAGGCAGGGCTCGGGGTGAATGTTAAAAAGCAAGCCGCTTCTCACTGGCTCTGAAGCCAGGGTCCAGAGCCCGCTGAGGGAAAAGTGCAGCCCATCCTCCTGAGGTCCAGTTAAGGAAGAAGGCACGTGGCTCTTCCACGAGGGCCTCTCATGTTATTGCCAACGTGCAAAGAGAACAAGTCAGGGCTGGTCAGTTCAGGCTGCTCTAACAAGACACCTAAAACTTTGGCCCGTTTTCTGTTGTATCAGAAGGGCCTTTCTCTGATAGTTGGAGATGTGTGCATTTTCCTAGAGGGGATGTTTTCAAGTCAGATTGATTCTGTGGAGAATGGACTGCAAGTTGGAGGCCTCAAGCCAATAATGTACTACAGGTCCTGACATGTTACAGCTGTGTAAACAGGGCCACTGTATCTCTTAAATCACTCCTAATAAAGCATAGGACAAAAATCCATTGATTCTGTTATATGTTCTTTTAATGACACTGGGAAAAGATGTTTGGCAGAGGTCCATTTAGAATAGGCACAGCTGACTGGTAGCCACCAAAAGGGCTTCTTTTAATTGGGCCTCTCCTTTCTGTAATACTACACGGTTATATTGCTGGGATGGAGGCTCCCAGCTACCAAGTCAAGACCTGCCGGGTAAAGGAGCCAAGCTGAATTCTTCCTGTGGACATATGCCTACAGACATATTTACAGGTCTGGCCAGTTAGAGAGGGATAAAGAAATTTTAATGAAACCCTGAGAAACTGAAGTGAGATCCTGAGAGAGAAGAGGATTTCAGAGGTTAAGTTGGAAAATGCAATTAGGCCTATATTCTAACCCAATCTGAGACAATTGGTGAGCACCTTGGGAACTGCCTTGGGAACTGGGCTTTTTGTCTGCCTTCCTTTTCCCTGACTTTCAGACCTGAGGAAGCTTTCAAAAGCATCCTAACTTGCTGGATTTGGAGTCCGAGA